CCATTCTGAACAGAAGACTAGCGAATTCCTTTGTCTTCAGAATAACAGGTCAGTGAAAATACTTTGCTAAAGCCTCAGCTACCACTCTAGCAAGCTTTACTAACACCAAACTGAAGGGTTGGGTTTTTTTGGTGGTGGTGGGTTTGTTGGGGTTTTTTTTGGCTTCTCAGTGCATACAGCTGAAATATTTAACTATCAATACTAACTGCAAATAAAATAAAATAGGTTCTCCTCCACACTGTGGAGCTGTCTGGAGCTAATCTAGTATACCTACAGGAAAACATGTTCATCCGCCATTGTTCCTAATAACAAAGCCTGTATTGCCTTTAGACCCTTAGGTGTTTTAAGTAAACGTGCAACTCATGGAAAGACCCAAGCCTGAATCTATTTGCTGCCAGACATTAACTGTAGCCACCTTAAAATAGACATAGCTAGGCCTAATCCTGCAACTGTGTGCTATAATCCCCATTACATACAGCTTTGTATGCAGAAGGTCTGGAACCAATGCGTATGCCACAGCTTTGTTCCTTGGCTGAAAGGTTAACTGACCTTTGGAACTCCCCGTCTGATCTTCTGGGGTAGCTGCGCCTTTTCCAGAAATATTACGTGACCTTTTATTTATTTTCCAACTCCCTCAGGATGTTTACATAAATGGACATATGGTGGTTAACATACTTAGGGACATTAATGAATAAATACTGCATGCCCAGAGATAAAAATGAGATTCAGATTAGAGTGGTTAAAAGAGTTTAAAAGAGCAGATTTTCACCGTGGCAGTATTGCAGACACATCAACAAAAGCTATTTAAAGCTCAAGAAATGCTGCTGGGGCTATTCAGTGCAGAGGGATGCACTCATTTTTTCAAAGCATGTATAAATAACCTCTATTACAGTAACACAGCCATTACAGCTATTACCTTCCATAGTTTCCATATTCACAATTTGAGATTAAAAGAAAAAATTTACAAACCAACCTCAAACCTATTGCCAGTTCACAAGCCAGCTTTTTTGCCCTTACATACCTTTAGTAGTACCTTACTCCACAAATATTCCCATTTGAGTCGATGGGACAAATTGCTGAGTAAGGTTCTTCTTCTGAGTTAAGATCTGCTGCGCAAATTTGTTCAAAATTACAAATTTCATGCCTCTGGGGCAAAATTTTCTATAAAGAAAAGAGATCATCTTTGCCATATACCAAAAGGTATACCAAAATCATAATGCACCAAAATTACAATGCAATATCCACTCATAACAACAAGAAATGGTTTGAAAGAGCTGTGGTCACTCTCTATTTGGAGTTGATATAAAATATTAATTTGGCGTCAGTAGCAAAATACTATTACATTAGAGAAATGATGCAACACAGCGGTTGATATTGTTTTGGTTCCAAAACACAACTACATACCTTCTTTAAAGTGATAACCTTTAGCTAATGTGACACATTTAAAACATATTTGGTACAAATGCCTTACATTTTTTTCAGTTTTGTAAAACATCTCATCTTATCTGATTCAGAAAAGGAAGGGAAAAAAAAAAGAAAGATATCCTTGAAGGATACTAAATGAAATTTGGATTTAATAAGTATGTAATGGAAAAAACAAGCTTTATACCATATTGAAAAGTACATGTAATATGAGCTGCAGTGATATTATAGGCTAGAATTAAGATTGCAGACTTGCTTTCATGTAGCATGCGGAGTCTATGCTTACAACTTTTAATGTTTTCCATCAATTAAGAAGAAATTCCTGGCTATCTAAAGAAGCAGGCTGGCAAATTAGCTCACAAAAGGCATCTACCTCCGACAGACTGTACTAAAGTACTAAGGAGTGCCAGTTGCTGGAATCCCATGAGTGGAGTCAGCATCAACCTTTGCTCGTAGCACGTGGCTGCGTGTACAGACTTCTCTACTGATGTATTCCATTCATTACAGCCCATTTTGCTGCATCTGTCATTGTAGTGGACTGGAACTATTGAAAATAGGACAAATAACTACAGTTTGGGAAGTTTTATTTTGGGATCACAGTAAATAAGAATGGGGAATTTTTATTGCATAGCACACTGGCTTTTTTCCTAGGTGAAATCATATGGAATAGAAATATCTTATATTGTGCCTGTTTGATTTATAACTCATATTTTTCAAAAGTGCCTGTCAGAATGCAAATACAACAGTGCCCAAACTGTGGTTTCCTGGCTACTTGTGGCCATTAGACCATAGCCAGGGAACTGCAGCTGGTCTGCAGAACAATATTGCCTTCTAATTAAAAGCTCAATAACAAGAGTGCTTGGTGATCCCAAGAAATTTGGGTGCTGACAAAAACCTATTCATCCAAACAGTTCAGGAAACTCTTCTGTAATACAAAGTAATACTGACACTTAGACTTATTTTTCATATGTACTAGGAGGGATAATATGATACCATGTTCCTCTACTCTAATTTGCTTTGCAAATTGCATTTTAAGACTGTACAATGAGACTCCAAATACAAGTTTATTCATATTATTCATAGCAATAAGTGAAATAAATATGTGTCCAGAACTAGATTTATCAAAAATATTTTCTCATTCCTATGCTTTAGGAATATATACAATTGTTGGGCTGAAAGAAGTCCATTTTGGTCCATTCTTTCCTCTGAGTTAACAGTTGTCAATGTTTTTCTTCCCCTCAATTATTTGCCTTGTTTTTATCTTAAAAAACCAAACAGATAAACAAAAATCTCTAGCTGCTTCTCTTTATGACCTTTGTTATTCATTTGGCAGTTAGACAAATAAACTTCTTGCCAGATCATTTTGTTCTAATTTTGCCTTGGCTAACATTCAATGCCCTGTCTCTGATTTCTGCCTCTTGTTCAAATAGTTTTAGACCATTATTTATCTCTCCTCTGTGCAGAGCTTGGTGCACACCAGTGACATTCCCCCTTACTCTTTTCCCTTACAAAGATGACAGAACCAGTTTATTTAAAGGTTTTATTAGATCTTTCAGTCTCTTTATCTTTTGCTGAGCTCTGCTCCACCTTTTCTATTATGAGCTTTAGATAATAAAGACCAGACTGTGTTGCTCTTCCTTGTGTTCAACGTACATTTCACCAGGAGTGATCACACTGCAGTCAACAAAGATTGCTTATGGAGTAAGGTACTACTCAATTCAAGATTCACAATCTGCCTTGGAGTGATCAGGACTATACACAATATTCCAAGTTCAGAGAGGTAATTTCCTCTTCTTTCAAGTACATCTCTACTTACGTGGCTTATAATGCTATTATTTAGCTTTTGCTTCTGATTATTTTTATTTGAAAATAGATATTTTTAACCCACCCATAGCATGCTGGTTTATATTTAGTCCCACTGATGACTCAGTCCCATATGTCGAGCTTCTTAATGTTACAAATGAAGCTAGACTTAGTGATAATCTCATTATAGTAAACACCTCAACACTGGTGTAATAGGGAGCAGTGCTCCTGCTCCCATTGCAGTCAGCTTTGAGACTTCATATAAATGGAAGAAGACCAGGTCTAGAAATTGTGCCTACAAATGCCCTATTTTACTTTTTTAGCATATGTTTTTTATTTACTCTTTTCCAATCAATTAGTGTCTCTTTGTTCATGAGATTATTAAAAATTGCAAAACGTTTCTCTGCCTCTTTTGATGTCTCCTATAACTCTAGGACAGGCCATGATAATATCAGCATTCTTAATACAACTGAATTTCTTGGAACCCTGATTTCCCTCTATTTTTTTAATGTACATGACTGATTTTGATATTCTTAATATGTTCTGACACTCATTAAATGTTCTGCTGCAAGCAAGCAAGTAATGCATATCTCTTTTTCAAAGTCATACCTACTACTTTATGTCAGTCAGAGTAGTTACAATTTTCTATACTTTGTTAATTTACTCCAAAACTTTGTCCAAAGTAGGACAAACCACCATACAGTTTTTGTATATTCTCACCTCTCATATTTATACACTTATGTAATGGCCTTCGTATTTTACAGCAAAATTTCTATGATTCTATTGAAGTCCTTCTGTGTTTCAAATTAATTCTTTATTATTTGGCCACTTAGAAACACTTTTCCTTATTTTATAATTATTATTAAATGGCATACATAGCCATAGGGTTAAATGTGCTTGCCTTGGACCACTCCTAATTCCAGCCTATTCTCCCTGTTTCTCCTGACATTTTTCTTCCATTTCACTCCACTACACACCACGTGCAACCTTTCAAAAATATGAGGACAATCTCCCATCTCTACATCAAGACAACCAAGACCTATGGATTTCTCAAAACCACACTGAGAAAGGCCCTCTTTTATTTAAAACAGTAGAAGTAAATATTTGATCGTACTAATCATAAGGATACTGCTCATTCAACTCCTTTCAAATCAAGCATATGTAAATAGCTATGCATGTGAGTACACAAGGAAATCACAATTTGAGGAGTTTTCTTCTTTCTCCTCTTTTTGACTTTGTATTGGGTAGCCATGGATGTTTTGTACCATGGAGCAGCACAACACACTTGGCCACTAGGGAATAAACAGATCACCAGAAGTACACATTTTGATGTGTATTTTGAAGGAACACATTCCAATTTTCTGCATAAAGAGTGCGTAGCAGTTTTGTTGGCTGGGACCTGTGGAGCACATGCAGTTCAGAAGGTCTGCCCTCGGCAGTGTTTCCAAACAACCATCTCTTCTACAATGTGCATAAATTGTTCTGCTAGACTGCCCCGAGCACTCCCTGCCTAGACCTCTTCCATCCTTCTCCCCTTGCATGGCACCAACTTTGAGTTTAGCTCCATTCGCTCTAACCATGCATGCCAATGCAAGTTTACTTTTTAAAAGTAATGTGTGTTAACTAACTTATCTCCCCAAGCCTTAGGTTATTCTTTCTAATGCACTGTGATATATCAAATGCTGGTAACGACAAGGGCATGAAAACATATAATATCTTCCAATTAAATCTCAAAAGTTATTTTTTAAAGCACAGAAGTTTTTAGAAAAATAGTGTCAGCTTCCATTGGTTATTATAACGGATGTTCCCTTGTGTCCTTGTGCTGGATCTTGCTGCATCCTTAAGTGAGAAGTCACATCAAAGTGTGATCCGTTACAGCCTAGTGAATAGTTTCTAATGGTTTCAGTGTCATATAGATGCTCCAGGGCATATCCAGTTAATGTGTAAGCATGCTTATCAAAGTACTGCCTGTGGGAGCTGTAATAATTTGGGGAGGCTGCTGGGTGGTCCCCCGGGGTTTGATGAGGGGACATGTCTGAGTGCAGGTAGTCTTTAGCTAGTACCAAACTAGATTTTGATATTCGGTCAGAACTGGGGCTACTTATCCTAGACAGTGCTGTGGGGCTGTTGTCATAGTCATTTTCATGTGGGCTCATAATCTTTCCATCTCGTTGCTGGATGTGTTCACAGGGAGGAGTGTTGGCAACCGTCGGGACGCGGCAGACGTCCCCTGCCAACTGCTGCTGAGGGTAGTTTGCAAAACAGATAGCGTGCTTCTTCCCTGTGCCATTAATGGAGACCAGTGGATCAGGGGTTGTTTTCCGCAGCTGTAGTCTGTTTTCTTCCTCTTTAATCATTTGCTGAGTGGCTCTTATTAGAGTTTCAATTTTGCTGGGCTCATGTGGACTGCTCTGATACTGGTCAGTACGGTATCGGTCGCCCGATTCACTGGCAGAGCCAGGGTCAGGTGAGCTAACGACACTGTCCTCGTCCCAGTGTCCTCTCCCTAGTAAAGAGAGAAAGGGAAAAAGCATTGAAGGTGAAGGAGGAGGCAAGCAATCTTGAAGAACAAGTACTCTCAACCTTATTTTACAGACAGAAAACAAAGACAGAGGCAAGTGACTCATAACAAAGGCACCAAAAATTACCATGGTAGACCTCTTGCTTTTCAGTGACAACCTCTAGTTTCCAGTGTTTGCACATGGAACAAGTCACCCAGCTGAAAATATACAAAGAAGGTATCTAAACACCTCAACATCCAGTGCAATCTGAGATGCTCTAGGGTAACCAAGCATCTGCATATACCCAACAGGTATAGCACCAACTCCACATGAACTCTGTGTCTTCCGGAACAGTACAGGCCAGGCAGAGTACTCTTGGGCATGTCAAAGTGCCCCCAACACCAGTGTTCAGGCCCCTGACTTCTCACTACCTCTTTGCGTCGACAAAGTCTGAGTGAATTGGGACTGTGGTGAAAGAAAAAATCTCAAGGAATTACAAATGCACAACATTCCAGCATGTCTTCTTAGGCCTTTCCAGGAGCTAAAACATAGAGACAGCACTATGGAATAGTTTGTGACCCTGTAGTGACTTTATGCAAGTCACACAACAATAAAACACAAGTAATGAAGCAGTTCTTCTTTAGAAGTACAAGAAACCATAGCTGTTAGACAGGGTTATTGCAAAAATGTGATTCCATATCCCACCACATAAATATTTACTGCATAAAACATTTAGAATCAGAAAATATAACCATATTCTTAACTCTATTTAAAAAATAAGGCCCATAGACATATCAGAGGTGTTCAACTTACATGTAGCTGGAAGGACAGAATCAGATCTGTCAGTCCTCACCAGGAAGAAAGTGAGTGACTCCCAAACCTGAACCTGTGGCCAACTAAGGCCACATTATGTACTATAAGGCCACTTGATGAAGGATTTGCTGAGATACGTGCCAGCAGGGGGGCACGTGTTGGACTTGCACAAATTACTTAATGATGTCTTTGCCTCAGCATATACAAAGTTCTCTTTGGGGATGAGGCCTGTTGGGTTGGTTGACAGTATTCCTCAAAGGAAACCCATTTTCAGACTAGCACAAGTAGTTCCCCATGCTCTGTGTTGGGTCAAGGCATACAGATCTATTTGGGTGGCAGAGTTCATAACAAAAATCAGGGATGAGTTTTTATAATAAACATATCCTGTCATTTGTCAGTGGAAGTACTGCACTGTAGAGTATCTCATGAGCATTAATTTATCCTTTACATCCTCAAGATTTGGAGCCAAAATGCCAGGGCCTCCAGGTGGAAAGGAGCTCCAGCCACCAGATCATGTGGTACTTCAGGCAAACCATGACACACTGGGGAGCTGGTCAGCCATGGCTCTAAACCACATGCTCAGTTTGTCTCATCGCACAGACCATATCTGCAGTGTCCCAGGCATCCTGAGCATGACCAGAAATGCATGGGCTCACATGCAATACGCAGGGCCTGCCATACTGGTCAGGCAATTGTCATTATTATAAGTTGGCTCCAAGCCAGAACTACCAGAAGATACATCGAAAGAAGAGAAAAAGAAGAAAATATTTTCTCTCCAAAGAAATTGCTCTGACAGCACTGTTCACATCGTAGTGTCAAAAAAGTTTCATTTGTGAAAGACCAAGGTCTGAAACTGCCTAAATCTAAATGAAAATGGCACATATGCCAGGGAAGCTGACATGCTGCTTTCCTCAACTAAGACCAACTTGTCAGATTTTGGCCCAAATCTATAGGCAGACTGAAGGCCTTGCGAAACACATAAGACTTGATACAATAATGAAAACAACTGCAGCATCTGGAATTACAGCAAAACCAAGGAACAAACTAAAATCAAATTATATTATCCATTTGCATTTATCATCCTTGATAAAGCAATGGAATAAATATTTACCACTTCTATATTTGTACCTCTGTATGATAGTTCTACATTACTATCTTTCTATTCTCAGCAAGAATTACCGTGCACAAAAGTTGACAGCAAAATTACCATACTTTGTTCAATTCTCTTTTTTGGAGAAGAAAAAGCTAGAGAAACACAAGTGTGACAGAACTACAGAACAGACATAATGAAGGAGTTGTGTTCTCACAGGAACAGTCCTCATCAGCAAAATTTATGGCTCCTTTTCTTTCTTCATTTTCCTCTGACTGTATTTCCTAGAACTTGCTATTTAATCTTTTTTATAAACCAAACATAATTTTGCTCAGATTGGAGTACAGTTTTTCTTGTACAGTTCTTTTTGATTTCCAAAGGCTCATTCTGCAAGTCACTGGAATGTTACTAATGAAATTAGCTCTTTTGAGATTTTAAAAAACAACCTAAGTTTTGACAGATTATTTTAGTAGAAAAGCATTTTTTTAATGCTTCATCTATCCTTACAACCTTGAACTCTGACTTTTGGGTCAGTTGCAGTTTTTCAACCCTCAGCCTACCCTTTAAACCCAAGGACCTTTGGATTTTTCCAAACCCAAGATCAGCCTTTAGCTGTGATTTTTTTATTAGCTTCAGCCTCTGAAGATGTGCTAATGAACTGAGTCTGCAGCCTGCCAGACACGAAGCAAGGCTTTAGAACAATTTCTCCAAAGACTTTAAAGATTTCTTAATATCTAGCTTGGATTTAGCTCTAATTTTTTCTAAATAGATTACATCTGAAGTAGTCTGTTCTTAAGTCAAATAAATAACACATTTCTATCAAGTATATCATTTTGTTTATGTTTTTAAGATCATCCTTAAAATCTCAACAGATAATTCCACCTTAATTTCACAGATTAAAAAATATAGAACAAAATTATATTTTGCTTCATACAAGCCAGACTGTCAAACTCAACTTATTTTTAACTATTCCTCATCTCCATAGATGCAATCTCTGAGATGAGGACATGCATCAAGATTCTCTCCTGTTTCCTTTCTTTCTCATAAACAGCCACAGGTTTATGTCATGTTGCTTTATCCGAGATGGTGCCACTTCTGCAAATCCTTGTCATCTCTTACCATGAATCCTGTGCACTGACGTTATGTGGGGCATACTGTTTTCATACGCTTCTCTGCTCTCGGGGGACGACTTAGTCAGGGGCAATGCTGAACGAGAACCCCACCAGCTCTCCCTTCCTGGCTGCGGTGTTCCAAGGAAATAGCGGCCAGCTTCACATCTGCCTCCTTCACAGGCCTGAGTGTGGAAATGTCTGTCATCGGTCAGCCTGGAGTGGTCGAGTGCAAAACCGTAGCAGAGAGCACTGCGGTCTGAGTACTGTCTGTAGGCACAGGAGACATCGTGATGCTGGGAGCTCGGTCTGTCCGCAGGCTCCACTAGCTGGGGAGAAGCTGTGTCAGTCAGGGGGCTCCCGCCCCACTGACTCTCGTGGTCAGACTCAGATCTCTCAGTGTGAAATCCAGAATACTGCAAAACAGGAGAAACAGCAGGGAAATTACTACTCCTGGGAGCAATCTGCAAGTAACTGCACTGAAAAGACAGACTATGTATGTGACAGGATGTATGTCGTGAGCACGCCCACACGTCCACCTTCTGACTGGACTCATGGTCCTTTCCTGTACCACACCCTGTAACAAGCTCACAGATGACAGGAGAGACCTCACAAAAGGCTAAAACATCCCGCGTTGACCCTTAATAGCCATCTCCTTTACGATGTGATTCTGCTGAGCAACATCAATGTTGCAATTCAATATTTTTTTCAATACGACCAGGTTTTTCTTATTTCTTTGAAAGCTAATGCTTATGCTCAGCAATGGTGCCCCAGTGCTCCTCGGCAAAACACATTCAAAGGGGACTGAAATAACTCCGCTCCAGGAGCATTGTCGTATGTCATATTGGAAATGAGTGTATTTGTGAGGTTTTTTCCTAAGGGTTCCATCCCTTTTCCTCATATTTTTTTGATGATGCTTTTTTTTTTTTTTTTTCTCCTTACCTCGGGTGGTATCTTGCAACTTCTTTCCTTCTATTAGTAGTAAAAAGAAAGCCTCCTGTAGATCCTGGGACTACCAACTCTACTACAAATTAAAGTTAAAAGTTGTGGCAGATGGGTAGGAAGCTGAAAATCACAGCTCTGCTGCAATGTGGAAACAAGGAAAATCCAGAACCTTTTTGCTACCTCTAGTCAAAGCAGGCAGACTGGGCATTTGGCACCCTCAATGAAGCAGAGGGCTTAATTAAGCAGAGGGATAGCTAAGAAGTAGCTAGCAGGCAGTTGGAAAAGCAGACAGAACAGGAGTATGGGCATTTGTTTAGAGAGAAGGAAGGGTTAAGTTCCATGTCAGGGATTTCTAGATATTCATAATTAAAGTTTCAAACTTTTAGATACTTTTGGGAAAAAAAAATAAAAAAGAAAGCTAAATCCTAGGAGGTTTAATAAGCAATCTCATTTTTAAATCTTTTTATTTATTGGAACTGTCAAACTTCATGGAACATCTTTAAATCAATTTCACCCATGATTACGGATTGGGATGTGACCAAAGCTGTACATGCTCACCTCTTCAGTACTGCACACTCGTGTCACAAATCAATGTATTACAACATGAAACCTTGGAATTCTCCCATTCCATCACTCACCTTCCAGATGCTCACTCTGCCTTTCTTTTTTTAATAGGCATTAGACCTCTCTCCTGAAAACATAAGCTTACCTTCCTTTTCATTAGACTGAGTTGCTATGAAACTCCTCATTATCAGGCAGGATCAAGGTTTTATGCACTTACCAATCGAAAGTACTGGCCAGATGTTTGACTTACAGAAACTTAAACCATCTGTGTAACATCAGTAGTAGTTTTGGCATTTAATTGGGTATTTCTTCAGTATTCCAGTTTTTATTTTTGAATACTGTTTGTTAACACAATAGGTTATTTAAAGGAAAGAAAGAAAGGGTCATGGCTTCGAGGAGCTTGATTGTGTTTTGTTATTAGTTGTCAGAAGAATACCCATAGGCAAAAAGCCTACCAGTAGACACGTATGAGGTCAGCAAGTTAGTACCACCATGTTCATAGCAAGGCTTCAGAGATGAAAGGGTAAATCTGATTTTTCATGGAGGTAAGGTAGTTAAAGAGTCACAAAAGAGTTCTTTTAAATGTCAGTAACTCGGCATACGTTAACTAGGAACTTTGTTCAGCCATTGCAGTGTTATGTGACCAACTGGGACATCTAACTCTTCCATTATCCTTTCAGATCTCATGTCTTCAAACTGCTTAGTCACAAAGATATCTTCACAAATACCAACTGAATTATTGTAAGCTTTTTGACAAAAATATATAACTAAAATCATTTCCAATGAAAAAAAAAAATTAACAAAATTTTGACTAATAAATTTTAGTCAAAATATAAATTCACAAAAGAAAAAATACTTTTGTATCTAAAATTCTTAATTTTAGAATTATTTTTAATGCTCTTTTTGGACATGACTTTTATAAACTAGATTTTTTAATTTAAAAAGTTAAGCTGGAATATAAGATAATACAAGCATAAATGTAAGTATAAAAAAGTTAAAAGTTCATTTATTTTCTTAATAAAAACAAACTTCATTGAATGCATTTTTTTCAAGGGGAGGACAAGGAAAATTAATTTCTAATAATATAATGAAAGTTCTTTTTTTGCACAATTTATGATAATAGGTGCTAGAGAGCCCTTCAAACTGGAAATTCTTAATTTTATTTAGGACTAATAGATACTCCTCCATTAGTTCTCTCTTTCTAAAAACACCTTAGGGTCCAACATATCTTCTCTTGAAGGGAATTTCTCCATTAAACTGAAAACTTGTTTGGTTTTTCTTATCATGAACCTAACCACAGAGGATTCAATTGCACTGGCCTTTGTGCACTCTTGTTAAAGAAAGGGTAACTATTTCAAAGAGTACATGTTTCATGTATCAGAAATGCAGCATGCAATATCATATAGCCATTCAGTCAAGACCAACAATACTTCATGCATATTCTTTGTACTTCATGCAAATGATGATTATGTGAGATCTGACCTGTGGCAGCTGCTAGGCCACGGACAGAATTAAATTAGCACAGTGAATTGCTTGCGGCCCACCTTGTCTACCAAGATTTGATATGACTGCATATTCTTAAGGTACAACATAAGCAGACACAGGCAAAAAAAATGCCCAATTCACTTTAAAAGCAAATCACATCTCTTCTTTGGCATTGTCAGGCTGCCTCTACTGTTGCAGTCCTGCCACTGCCTCTTCTGGGAATCCGATGTTGACAGGTGGAGACTCCAAATACGGGCATGGGTGACATGTTGACAGGAGTAGAAATGGAAGGATGATCAAAGATACTGCTTTACTGAAATGGGAGTCGAAACACTATCTCTCTAGTCAAAATTAGGCTCCCATATGTCAAGTGATGAAAGACCATAGAAAATGGAATCAGATTTAATGAAAATTATGGCCAATTAAAATCAGTGAAAATAATTTTTTTCATTCCTCGTCCTGCCTCACCAGAAATACTTTCCTTTCTGATAATTTTTTGCTTTCTGACTTCCAACAGGCAAAATTTGACAATCTTTAACCACCAGACAGAAATTAAACATAATAAAGCAGATAGGCAACATCTGAAATCTCTTCAGGTGATTTCTGAATTGTCTTCTAGCATAAACAACTACAATAAATAAATTAAATTGTCCTCCATCTGATTTCTGGAAACTGAATTGCCACCTCTGGATACTAGAAATTTCTTCCAGAGTGCTAATCTGGTGTACCATCCCCGTGAGAGCACACCAGTGGGATTAGCACTGACGTAGGAAAGGACTATAGGCCATCACTGATGTTATTTTCACTCCAAGAAAAACTTCAGAAGGGCTGAAGGTGCAAGAAAATAGGAAAATAAAAATTCTATGTCTAAGAAAAGCTTGTTTTACAAGAGCCCATGGAAGAGTATTAGGCCAGTAGACAATTTAATATTTCTCAGGTGATTTTCTTTTGCCTGACCTTCCATTCCTACAGGTGTCTCACTGGCCTGAGCACTCGTTCTGTCATACACAGCAACATCAGCCTGCTTCCCACACCATGCCAGATGTTCAAACAATACATGTTATAGATATCTAATTTTCTGGCAGCCTACTCAGGTTTTTATCATTATAAACATTAAATATATAGTGAAACCCTCTCAGAGTCCTCTTTTCCATGAAAAACTTTCACTACATCAGCATTAGCAGCTTTCCTCTTGATTTGTGCCTTAACCATGAGAAAAAACATCACAGATGCGGGCTGCATTGTACTGAGAACATATGCATGCTTTTAAATCACTTTTATCTTACTTTTTACTAATGTAATCCTGAAATGTAAAATATGTTCTTTTTGCATTCACTGTTATAGGCAGAACAGATGGTGAAAGGCTTAGATTAAAGTAATACAGCATGTCCATTAAAATAACCCCCACTGCTGGTGACTCTTCACCAGATCAGGAGTTATGTTTACTATAAAAAGAGGGTTTTGCTTCGCTTTTGAATACACTGGAAATTGCCGAAGTGTTACACTACAGGAAGAAATGAAAAAAAATGACACAAAAATAAAAGGCTGACTAGAATCCAGCCTGATTCTGTTATCCTTTTCCCATTGGATGATATGTCCAATTAGAGGCGGATTGCAGAATTAATCCATATTATCTGTTTAAAGGAGCTATAAAAGCAGTTTACCTCCAAAAGCAGGTGTATTAATATACCCGTACTAGGGAAGGGTCTTACTTCCAAAAACTCGTGCCTGCTGTAACACACACCAAAGCCTCCATTCCAACACCTCTTGGATACTTGTATGGGTGCATTCATTTTATACATATATATAATCTTTATCCAAGAACTAAAATAAGATATGAAGCAATAAACATTTATCCAGATCTGACCATAAAACACTTCCATTAGAGGCAGACAACAGACAATTTTAAATATTTTCTTTAAACAGCCATCATTAATGGGAGATTAAATTCCAAACCCATTGCTCAGATGATCACAATTAAAATGTTTTTTCAATCTTATTGCTATTTCCTGTATACAGAATAAACGAGGTCCAGGGCTAGATTTTGGGAACACAAAATAAATGAGGTCCAGGGCTAGATTTTGGGAGCCCCTCACAATGATAATCATTATGGGGAAGACTACAGGCATCTTCTAACCAAATCACAATTTCCTTTTTCTGCAAATTTCTATCAAGTCTTCATCTCGCCTGTTCTTTCACTTCTTTCAGCTCTCCACCTTTCTGGTAGGACAGGACAAGGAGAGCACTGCTACAAAAGTGTCTGGGCAAATCCTACAGCTGTGTCATGAATTTTGGGTTGCTCTTCTCTCTGCTTTCTTTTCCCCTGCCTGGGACTGGTTTCACAGAACCAACTAGCCCACTGTACAAATGCCAGTCGGTGTTAACTGGATGTTGAGCAATGCCTCCGATTTACTGGACTCAGTTTTTACTTTAAGAGTCTACAAGCACCATATGACACTGTGTCTGCTTTTGCATAAGGTTTGAGGAGAAAACACAGACGCTGTCTTAGGTGACCAAAACATCCACCTTTTGCCCTGGCAGTAAACATTCAGCTGAGATTTATTAACGTGGTTTTCATACAGTTCACATCCTATGAAGCTATCCCAGGGGCACACAGCTGGCAAGGGAGAGGATTCTCAGCCTTCACCCAATAACACATACAATTCCTTTTTCTCTTCAAGAGTGAAGCAAATTAAATGGTAAAGGGAAAAAAAGGGGGAAAAAAAGAAGAAAAATACGAAAGAAAGTATGTACATTTAAATCCCCCAGTTGCTCTTAAGTTTAAGAAATACTTTGCCTACTGCCATTACTTTACTGCTTCCTTCCTCCACCAAAACCCAGACTCTCATGTAAACCAAAACCCATGACCTTACTTTTCTGCCATGGTTTTTGAGTCACACTCTAATTCTCTACGACTGACGGGCAAATTATGTGGGCGGGAGAGTGAGGGACACAGGCCATACCACCTGCTGCATGTTCTTCACAACAGTTTTTCTTAGTCTTTCAACAGTTTATTCAGTGGTGGAGAAGGATGAGAGGGATGCAAAGCCAAGCTGCCAGCGTTGCTTGTGGTGATGTGCTACAATGAACGGTATGACCATTTTTCAACATATTGGCAACTAGTACGACTGCTTCTTTCTGAATGATGAAATCTGTGAGTTTACTACTAGGCAATGGCTAATGAGGATGCAGAGTGAAACTGGAGAAAACATTCTGAGCTTTCAGACAACAATCCTTGATAAATCAACACTCTCAGGGCTGCACTGATGGTTCAGGATTTTTTCTGGTGGCAGAGAGAATAAGGAGGTACTGATGAAAGTCACTTTCAGAAAGTGAATTGATGAGGGAGGATAACAGGTCTTCAGTTGGGATTGTCTTGCTAGCAAATGAGGATTTCTGAAAGGACTCTGTGAGGGGAAATGAAGGGTAACTTCAGTAAACTAGTCATCTTAAAAACCTAATTTAGAATTAATTGTAGGTATCTTCCCTGATTCTTTAAAGCAATGTTATTACAATTGTTTGTTGGAGTGCATTCAAGAGAAAGACTCTTCTTTAACAACCCACAAAAATGCATGTGAATAAATTATTAAAAAACGAGAGCCATAACAACCTCTGGCAAAATTAGATCCTTAAAATTAAGAATCTGAGTTCATATCTAGGCGCTTGGTTAAATAATCCCTGTGCCAAAAGCTGATGTCATTTAACTGAAATTCTTACCCTTGGTACGTTTGAGGGGAAAATGAAGGAAAACAAGGAAGTGGTGCAGATGTCTGGGCTCACACTGTACACTCTTAGAGGTCAGTTTAGAAAACATTGTGCCTGCAGAGAAACTGTAGTCATCAAGGTCATTATCAGTTAAATATTGACCTGTACTCATTAAAAATATATGGCTCTTCAATGTTATATCATGAATGCATACATTTATATCCACTGTGTGGTGGCATAAGGGCAGTAAGACTTAAATCATTATTTAGTAAACGTAATGGTTATTTTGACAAACAGATTTATTTGGGCTAAAGGGCTGAAAATGTAAGTATGCAAGTGCTGTGGCATTGTCTGCAGAAATCAGTTGCATAAATGTATTAGATAACCTCCAGTTCAGGTACCAAATCAAGTCTGGTCCATTTCCCTACACATTAACCCTGAAAATAAAATCTGGGAAATTAAAGTCTTCTGAGGGCAATGGCTACCTCCCAGCACTTTCTCCCTTTCAAAGATTTGTACATGGCAAAGTTTTTTTGTTCCAGTTCATCAAGTTAGGTTCTTGCATTCCTTCCTCAAAACTCACGCCTCCTGACTAAGACTTCAGTATTAAACTGCTGTGAAACATCTGACAGCTTTCTAGATATGTTGGAATTATTAAAGAGCAAGTAGGAAAAAGCAAGCTTTCTCAAATGGTAAAACTCACAATCCTCTTAAACCAAGTATTTCAAAACCAACATTTCAGTTGTCCTTCTGTCCGCCCCTCATTAACTCTGAGCCCTGTGTTGTTATTGTTGATGATGATGATTTATTATGCATGCTGAAACATAAATGTTTCCAGCTTTTTAGAAACAGTTTAAAGAAACATATTCCTGTCTCAAGATCTTACAACCTATCATTCTTTATGCCCTTTGAGCAATGTGTTCTTTGGCCCATTGTAATTACTGAGGTAAAATAGCAGTCAAAATCAAGATATTCAAAAATATTTAATTTTGTTTTTCAAAGACAACTACCTGTGGGTATGGTGATGTCCTTGATTTTGACTTTGTGCTCGAGAGGCGAGATTTGCTTCCCTTTCTATTATCCGTTATGGTCGGAGTTGAATTTGCGTATGAGAATGCCGGCTTGGTAGCAGTGACCTGATCCAGGGAGAGCTGTAGTCCTTTATATTCAGTATCCCTATATAAAAGGCAAAAGTGAAAAACAAACTCACTTCATATCTTAATGGGAAACATTCCTTCCTTCTTAGTGGGGGGTAGAAATAAAAGATATCTTAAAGGAAAAAGAATAAAACCATCCAGGGCAAGCCAGTATACCCCCCCTGATACATTTAAGTAGTATAGCTTACTAAACAACAGCACTATTTTTATACTGAAAATATGATTGCTTTTTGAATCCAACTGTTATCATCCTGATCTACTTTCTTCAGTAATAAAAAACAACGGGATGGAAATTTCTGAGATTTATATTACAGTTCTGCATTGGGCACATAGCTAAGCAGTAAATAGGATACATTGTCCTCAAAACTCTTTTAACTGTACAACTACAAACTTACCATGTGCGCATATGTGTGTGTATTCATGCATGTGTGGGGATGCACATAACAGCCTACATAGATGACCAAATAAATTGAAAAAAAATATTTTTTTTCTGGAAAACAATTAATCTTTAAGGTTATATTTTTCGTTGTTTACAAGGTTTCAGGCAATTGGCATAAATTTTTCAGTTTTTCTTCTCCTATGAGTTTGTTTATGTGTGTTATACTTTAACAGCTTTCCGGTCAGAGAAAACAGCTAAATAAATACTAATTTTGTGATTTAAATGGTCTGTCCCCCACTCACAAAATATTAGAGGTTTTCTATGGAGAGCTAGTTTGTGAAAACGGCAGTCCGTGAAGTTCAGTGTCAGTTTCTTCAAACTTTCTAATGAAGACATAAAAGTAAGGAAAACTGGCATTATTCGCAATGTCTTACCAAGCATAACGAGGGCATATGCATTGGACTGCACCCCTCTGCACACATCTGCATGTGTGCGGATACCTGGGGGAGTAAGAAATGAGTTCTCCAGCTTTCATGTAGTCATACGGAACCCATTCTGACAATGATTTATTAAAAGAGAGCAAAGAAAGAGTTTCTTCCTGACCTACCTACCTGCAGGAAAAGAGGAAGGATTCATGGCTTTTCTCTTCCTTTGTGTTAATCAGCAAAGAAGTAGGAGAGCAAGGGAAAGAACAATGATGCTCTTATGCAGTCAAGGAGGCAACATATTCATTCACACATTATCCCATACTCCATCTAACGCTAAAGACTCATCTTTAATGAATTTCATTAATAATAAATTGTTCACCCAGCTTTAGCAACAGTATCTTGCTCTGTAATCACACATATATTGATGTAAGTTGTGAGAGTTTAGCATTTTTTTAGAAAGGAACTGCACCACAACCCAAGCATATAATGACCTAGTACACTGGAATGCTTTCAGATAAAAGTCAGGGGCAGAAGGATAAGCTTGATAAACCACTGGAATAAATGAAATATGATGAATCTTCGAGCAGTCACAGATAAATTAAGTTGTGCCACTTCTACACTAAAAATTTTTTGCACCTGATAAACAACAAACTTGTTGGTTAAAGAGGCTTAGGATTTTTGGCAATGCAGATAACATGCAATAATCCATGTATATACAACACCTGAAAATGGATCACTGGCATTAGAACTGTGCTGACCACATAGCAGACGGAGACTGGCCAAGTATAATTAATGTTCTGTAATGTGAAATCACTTCTTAATGAGGCCATTTCTTCAAATTTTTGCTTAATAGAGATAGGCCTCTGCTATAATATTTGCATCTCATATATCCTGCCTGCAGTGAAAGCATCTGAATATAGGGATTTACTTTGGCCTATTTGACAGGTAAGGCTCATCCACATATTTTGAAACCATTAATCTTTCCCATGGTTACCCTCAGAATTTCCAGCCAGACACTTTGACTTGACATGCAAAGCATCTGCCTCCATAATTGAGTCCTACTGAATTATCTTTAAGTTATACAAAACATCAGGCAAAAAAGGATGTCAATTATCCACATATTTAACTACTACAGTAGCATGAGATACTATTAATAGTCCTGAAAAATACTATCAGTCACATCCTGACATACACATTCCTTCTGAGTATTTGATTATAAGAAAAGGAAGGGTCCTGTGGTCTCAGTGTCAAATGCAGAAAGTGGTGTGTTCAGAAATGAAAATTAATCAAACCTAAATAGCTAAGTTGTTCACAGCCTTAAGGATATGAGGAGGTTCTTTTTTGGCTTTGAACCTACCATCCCTTTTGCCTTCCTTTTTTTCTGGAGAGCTGATAGTTCTGTATTCCTGCCATTACCTCCCCATCTCTGGTGTATGCCACCCTCTAACAGTCAGCTGCTTTCTTGTGTCAGTGGAAGAGTTTTAAGAAACATTACTCCAGTAATTCAGGGCACAGATTGTCACTCCAACACTAATTACCAGCTGTTACAACCTGCGTAAGAGCCAAGCATTCAGATCATAGATGCTACACTGTACAACGCTTCTAGGTCACGGAAATGTAAAAAAAACTGGTAAACCAGGCTGCCCAAAACCTTGCATGCCATTACGTGTTACTTTTCTAAGTCCCTGGTATCATCATGATGAGGACTCACCCTCCCAGAACACTGCATGTTAGAATAAACACCAAAAGTTTGTATTTGCAGCCAATTGCTTAGACAGTAACACCATTAAACAAAGGAAAAGAAGAAAACTATCTGAAGTTCTTGCTGCCAAATATAGCTTCCCCTTAGAAAAGAACACATCTGTGCCCTCTTGCAGATGAAACACCTGGATTTTTTGCATCACCGAGGCATGATTCCATACCATCTCAACCCTATCCTAACACAGCTACCCTTTAGAAGAACCGACAGACATCAGAACACCAGTAACAGGCCAAGATAAATACCAGAAGTTCGGGGGCTTTTTTAAAAAAAAAAAAAAAAAAAAAAAGGCAAAGAAAACATAGACGAAGGGTCCTGTGGTCTCAGTGTCAGATGCAGAAGATGTTCCACCAAGAAATTAAAACATTTGAGTATATCCATATGCACTGCGAGGCAAAGGACTAGAGGAACCAGGGCTCCTAGTGGTACACAAATTACAGATGGAAATTTTGACAACTTCCTGGAGGAATTTATAAAACTTCCACCAACCATGGAACTTTAATTTCCAGATTCCTGTTCTCAGGGGCAAAAAAACTCTATTACACAGTCCCACAGTCCCAGCAACACAGTAGTACTGCATCTTGTGTTCTGCACATAATTCAAAAAAAGGTGGTGTATATGAGCCTCTTCCTCCAAGGTCCCCACCTTCAGGATCCCACAGGGATCCATACAATCTACATCTATCTACATGAGACTGCTGAGAGAGAGAGTGAAATGGCATGTGTTCAATTGCTAACAGTATGTTGCTGACAATCTACTATTTATCTCATTTTCTGATGCAACTATCATCACTATAAAACATCAGAATAACTACAGGAAATTAGCTCTTAAATGAAGAGCAGATGGATCAAACTGAATCCAGACAAGACCAAAGTGATGCCTCTTTGCAAAGGGGAACACATTGAAGACCTCCACCTTTTCATGATGGGAAACAGTCATTCTTTCCGCAGTTGGATGGAAATTCTATGTCGTCTTTGACTCCTCAGAAAACTTGGATGCATATGCTTTTGGTAGCATATGCTTCCAAAAATGTATTATTTCTCCTCTGTCTTGTCTCTCCCCCATATGAGAATCAGGCCAGTATGGTCAGTGTATCAGACACCTACAGACTGGATTACCATGATTCACTGTAAGCAAAAAGAAATCAGAAGACAAAGCATAAAATCCTCTTGCTACAATATGCTGCTTCCCATTTTCTTCACAGATCTAACTCCCAGAAGCATTTCTACTCTGTGCCATGTCTCTAGCTCTTCCAATGCCCATTATAAATTTTGAGCCTAATTTGGTAAGCACTTACTGATCTACTAGAGTTGACATAATGAAAAAACAAGGATCAATGGCTGTACCAACCGCACTTCTCCACAATAAAGCATCTGAAAGTTGAGCACAAAAATTCTTTACTAAAGGATCTAGGTATAGCAAGCTGCATAGTTGGAGAAGGACAAAGGCTGAAGCAGCAAAACATTTGAAAGAGGAAGCCGATCTGTTTGCACGACTTGGATGTCAGCTGGATCTGCAACACTTCTGTGAAGAGTTCATGCAATTCAGCTTTAGAGGACACTTTCTGCCTACTACCATTGCCAAAATGTACAATATGAAACATGGTGGCAACAGTCTGTCTAACAAAAGTTTGAGGAAGAAATAATGACTTAGTAGCAGATAGACTCAAAAAAAGAACAGTAAGGGAGTATCACATCACCACAAAACCTGAATTTTCAGCAAACAACTAGAGCTTGCACAAATATGGCAACTGGACATGTGGGTAGAGCTCACCATGAAACTGAAAAAAAAATAGAGTTTTTTATATGGCCTTTTTGAAGGAAAAAATATGAGGAAACGGTGAGTCAGCATTGCCAGAAATAATGTTGGGAAGACTGGAATTAGTGACAGAGGCCCAGAGGGCACAGTATGGCCCCAGAAAAACTAAAACTGTACAGACAAGCCAGGCTTTTTTGCAGTTGTGTTTCTCCAAGTAATAGTGTAAAGTTTGGGACTACTTTAACCAAAATCTAAAAACTAAAGTGAAATCGGAAATTAAGATCAGAGAGCTAAAGACAAGACACTAAGGTTCCCTACTTAAAGACAGTGCTGGCTATGCAACAGTAGTGAACTTAAGCCCTGGAAAATGTTTTCAGATAGGAAGAGCAGCTCAACAAAATTATTCCAGAGGAAGGAGTAAAATGATGACATACATTAGTGAAGAATAAATATCCAGATTCAACCAAAAGAACTTAAGAAGTACAACCAGACTCAGAAATAGAGATCTTCTATATCTATAGTCATAAGCAGTATAACCTTCAAAACAAGAACAAAATCTTCAGAAAAAGAAGAAAAAATGCTCAGCCTGTGGAAAACTCTGTAAAAGCTGTAAGAAAGAGCATCTTTTTATGTTAATGCCACAGCATGCCAGAAAGGGAGAATAAGCTATATATACAGTGAGTGAGAATACACAG